CCATCTCCCAGCAGCAAAAATCCCTGAGGACTGGCTCCTCAGCACAGGCGACACCATCAAAGTCCAGATGCCTCCGAAGCAGCAAGACCCCAAGGACTGTCGCCAAGTAGCGGTGTAGCACGTCAGAGATCTTTCGTGTCTTGGCAGGTAGGGCTGGAGAGGGGGTGAGAGCCTTGCGAGGAGGTGGAGGTGCTTTGGTTCCCTGTCGACAAAGACAAAGGCGCCTGAAGAGCTCGGAGCTCGGAGCGACCCCTCATTCTCTCCTTTTCTCTCCCTTAGACACCCTGCGCTGGTAGTCGTGCGTGCGGAGTCGGACTGTCATGACGAAGCGGAAGGAAAACAGTGCTGAGCAGGGGTTTGGTATTTGGTACTGTGAACCTTTGGGGTTGGTTCGGTAGCCTCGACCAGAACAGAAATCTTCAGCCTGCAGCAACTTGTGCTCAATGGTATCGCAACATCGCACAGCATCTCTATCCAGTTTGCAATAGCTCCTATTCTTTGTTTGATGCATTGCGGCAAGCTCTGAGTGCACGAAGATGGCATCAACCATTTTATTGCTGGACTTGTTCTGTATATATAGTACAAGCCAAGGCACGTCACAAATAGCATCCCGGAGTCTTCTTTGATATGAATAGAATCCATGCCAAGGCGCAAAATCATGCAGTACTTCCGAATCTTCTGTGATTATTTCCGAGGCTTCTACAATTATCTAATAAAACGGTGTCGGCTGCTTGCACTCGTGATTCCGTGCGCGCCCTGGTCCCCTGTAACTTGGTCCTTTGGTAGTGCCTCTTGAAAGCCTCGTGCGTGCTTAGCTAAAATTTCGGAAATTCTGCTGGTATCACGAGCATTTCTCTCCCGGTACTAAATTTTCAGAAATTGGGTAGCTTTAAGGAAATCCCGGGATTTCAAAATTTGAGAAATTTGGTAGCTTGAGGATGATATGCTCGCGGCCATATAATTTCCATGGTTTTTGGGAAATGCTCGCGGGAATAAAATTTCTAGGACCCTAGTACCGCAAGCTCCAGCGTCGCTTTCTTTCTGAATATAGGCGTCTTTGAATGAGTGTGTGAGTATGTATATATGCCTCGATTATACACTGAAGGTTAGGGAAGTCTTATATGAGATTCTAACACTCCCTCCGAAGGTTTCAGATTTCTACGTTATTTTCTGATTCGTTAGTCTTGTTCTCCGATTCGTGCAGATGTAGTCTTCTTTTTTTTGATTCAGACCTTTTCATTTTTTGACTCGAATGCCTGATTTTTGTTATATCTATCGTTTTCGACTTCTTTTTCTGATTCGGGCATTATGCGTGCCTCAAAGGCTGATGCCGTTGTTGAGGCCCTTGTGCAAGAAGTACGATTTATTGCCGTTTTTTGGCCTCGAAGTAATGCCCTAATGCTAAGAAGTATTATTTGTTGGCGAAGTGGTGCCCTAATATTAAGAAATACGATTTCTTGCTGTTGTTTAGGCCGAAGTGATGCCATACTCTGCTAGGATGTTGTTTATTTGGTCTTGAAGGTGCCCTAGTATTAAAAAAAGCAATTTGTTGAAGTTGTTTTCACCTGGAAGTGATGCTCCAATGCTAAGAAATACGACTTGTTGGCGTTGTTTTGGCTCCGAATGGAGCCCTAGCTAAGAAGAACGATTTCTTATTGTAGTTTGGGCCGAAGTGATGCCATACTGCTAGGGAGCACGATTTTGGTGTTGTTTATTTGGCCTCGAAGGTGCCCCAGTATTAAAAAAGCAATTTGTTGAAGTTGTTCTGGTTTCGAGTGATGCCCCGGTGCTAAAATGAACGATTTGTTGCCGTTATTTTGGCCTCGAAGTTGTCGCTGTTTTGGGTTCGAAGCGATGCCCCAGTCCTGAAAATTGAGATTGTTGCGGTTGTTTTGTACCTCGAAGTGATGCCCCAGTTTTAAGAAATACGATTTGTTGCAGTTGTTTTGGCCTCGAAGTGATGTCCCAGTGCTAAGAAAAGATTTGTTGCCGTTGTTTTGGCTTCGAAGTGATGCCCACTTCTAAGAAATACTATCTGTTATCGTTGATTTGCTCTCGAGAGGTGATGTTCAATGCTAGGAAGCACGATTTTTGTCGTTGTTTGTGCTTTGAAATAGGATAAATTGCCGTTGTTCTCGCTCTAGTGCTCAGAAATCGTTATTTTGGTTTCGAAGCGATGCTCCCGTGTTAAGAATTATAATTTGTTTTGATTGTATTTTGAGTTGGACGTGATGCTCGAGTGCAAAGCGGTAGGAGTTGTTGCTCTTATTGTGGCTTTGAAGTGATGCTACAGTGCTTAGAAAGAAGTACGATTTGTTGCCGTTGCTGAGAAATACGACTGTTGAGGTTATTTTGGCCTCTAAATGATGCCCTAGTATTAAGAATTGTGACTTGTTACCGTTGCTGTGCTTTCGAAGAAGTGATTCCACTGTTAAGAAGTATGATTAATTGCCTTTGTTTTGGCCTCGATATGATACTCCAATGGTAAGTTTTTCTATATTTTGGCTTCAAAATATTGCCCCCGGTTTTTAAAGAACGATTTATTGTTTTGGCTTCTAAGCTAGGCCCTAGTGGTACAACTTGTTCTTTCGTTGTGTTCTTGAAGTGATGCCTTCGTGCTGATGAAATATTGAACATGATTTATTGCCGTTGATTTGGGTTTGAAGTGATGTTTCAGTGCTAAGGACGTTGGTTTGGTCACGAAGTGATAGTAGCAAGAAATACGATTTGGTGAATTTGAAGTGAAGTGTATCTTTGGTATTAAGCAGTAGGATTTATTAATATTGATTTGGTTTCAAGGCGGAGAAGTTTAACTAGATATTGTCATCTTGAACTCGAAGTGATTTCTGCGGGAGGTTGTGGTTTGTTTGCTTTGATATGAACCACGCTGTTGGGAATTTTGGAGATATATGTTGCTGGGATATGAGAAATCTGCAATGCTTTATGATCGAGTGTGAAAGTGTCCAGACCGGACGTAGGGCGTTGTTCTATAGCATCCTTGGTTTTTTATAAGCCTGTTCTGCAAATGCAGCCCTGTGCGTAAAAGCTACAAACAAGGAGGACGATGCTGCCTAGGCATTTGATTTGCGTTGTGATCAGGACAGGCGTGCCATCGAGGAACTTGAGCTTCGGGCTTGAGACGAATGCCCGAAAGAATCACACTTTTCAACATTGAATTGATGCAATATCTTTTCCAATTGCGGTATGGTCAAGCCGAGAAGTAAAGGGTCCTCCGCATACATGTCTCAGTACCTACACCTTCGTTAAAAAAAGCTTCATACATCTTTTCAAACATGATTGAAAAATGACAACGAAATATATGGAGTAAATGAGTTCCTGGTATCTTCGGGTATTCCGACCCTTCTCGGTGTGATCTCGAGTGCTGTGTAGTCAAGGGCAATGCGTGCTTCGTGCTTTCAGACGCTCTGAATCCATATTGTGATTTCCGAATTGGTCCATGTCGTTTGCTAATCTGGGCTGGATGACAAACATTCTAGTGCTTTGCCATCGTTCCATACCTGTTGCAGTGTCGTCAAGGGTTTTTGTTCTCTGTGTTTGTCCAACCACACGAGACTCGTTGAATACGCATTCGGGCGCTTTGTTTTTTAGCTTTGTTGTAAGATTGGCTTGGCAGTGGGGGCTACGCTCTTTGTCTGAGCGCCCGGAGCAAGGACCCTTTCGACTGCGTTGTCCCTTTCTGTCGGGGAACATGCTTCGTTAGATCCTCGGAACTCCGGAGTGCCTCTTGGAGGGGGTGTTCGAATTCCCTTTGAGGGTGCAGTAAGGCCGAACTTTTGCAGCTAAATCAAGATGTTGGTGTCCAACGGCATTGGGAGCAGTACATCAAAATTTTGTAATCTTCAGGCTACAAGGTGATTCCCATCCCAACCCAAGTGAAGCGAAGCGATGTGGTGTTACCAAGATGTTTACAAAGGAAAGGCAAGGCGATACTCTGCAAGCCTGCGGTCTGGCCGAATCCAAGGCTGCCCCAAAAAAAGATTCAGAGCAAGTGCCGGATACACGGCCAAAGCACAGAAAAAGGTTTATTCTTAAACCTGTGGTTGTGGTCTTGAGGACTTCCCAGTGGCCAAAAAACCATGTGTTGTGATTGTTGTTGGGGTTTGCTTCGAAGTCCAACCAGTACCATGAATTGCGTATGTTTTGCTTTAGAAGTGATGCCCCGATGCGAGAAACGATGTTTTTCCGTTGTTTTGGCTTTTTGTTGCTGCTGTTTTGGCGTCGAAGTAATGCCCCAGTGCTAGAAGTAGCACTTGTTGCCGTTTTTGATTGGCTTCGAAATGATGCCCCAGTGCTAAAAAGAAAGGAAAACGACTTGATGCCTTTGTTTTGGCCCGAAGTGATGCCCTAGCGCGGAGAGGAAGTATGACTTGTTTGTCGATGTTGTGACAAGTACGACTTTTTTGCTTTTGTTGGGTCTCGTACGATGTGTTGCCGTTCATTTGGTCGAAGCAGCGCTAAGTGGTACGATTCAGTCGTCGTTCTTTCCCGCACAGAAGTGGCAGTTGTTGCCGACTTATGCCGTTGTTTTGGTATCGAAGTGATGTCCCAGTGCATAGACGTTCCATGTGTTCCGTTTTTTGGTTTCGAAGTGGTGCCCTAATTGTTGGAAGTGCGACTTGCTTCAGTTGGTTTGTCGTCGAGGAAATGCCCAAAGAAATACGATTTGTTGCATTTGTTTTGGCTTGGAAATGATGCCCCAGTGCTAAGAAGTTGACTTGTTGCCTTTGTTCTGGCTCACTGGAACAGACAACTTGCCGTTTTTTTGGCTTTGAAATGATACCCCAAACTTTCGAAGAAAGAAATACGACTTGTTGCCGTTGTTTGGCTTCGAATTGATGCCCTAGTGCTAGGAAGTACGATGTGCGACTTTTGGTTTGGCCTCGAAGTGATGCCCGAGTGTTAAGAAATAGGTTTTGTTGCCATTATTTTGGCCTCGAAGTGATGCCGTTGTTCTGGCTTCGGGTGATTCGTGTTCAGAAAAAAATACGATTTGTTGCTGCCTCAGTGCGAAAAAAATGATTTATTGTTCTTGATTTGGTCTCGAAGCAGCTAGCACGATTCTGTTGCGGGTATCTTGGCTTCGAAGTGATGCGACCCAATTTGTTGCCGTGGTTGTGGCTTTGGAGTGATGCCCCAGTGCTGACAAGAAATGCGATTTGTTTTTGTTTTGGCTTCGAGATGATGCCCAAGTGCCAAGAAAAACGATG